TTCACCTCCACTGAGTATAGCATTTATCTTATTAGAATAAAGACATTCTTCTATTAACCAAAGTACTCTGCGTCTAATAAAAGTAACAGTCGTCCTTAATATCTTACATCCAGTTCGTTTTCAAATTCCCCTAACTGTCCCTCAAAGTCCTTTTTTTAAAGTCTGTTTATTTTTTTTTTTTGAACCAGGATGTAATCAAAGTTGTGTGTCTTTAGTTTCTTTCAATACAGAATACGCGTTTCCCAATTTTTTTTTTCTTTCTCCATGACATTGACTTTTTTTAAGATCAAGCCAGTGGTCCCATAGAATGTCCTTCATCCCAGATATGTGATTGTTTCTCATGGTGTCATTTAACTTGTTCCTCAGGCCCTGTATTTTTCCTAAAATAGAAGTCTAAAGGCTTACTTAAGTTTAGGTTAAATATTTTTGGCAAGAATAATGCGTGGCTGCTGGTTCTCCATGTCAGATCTCATCACATCAGTCATCCGAGTGTCGGTGTGGATAAGGTGGATCACTTTGTTAAGGCGACCACTTCATTACAAAGTATGTTTTCTGAAAATGAGCAATTTTAAGAGTGATGTTTTGGACAAAGGAATTATTATTATTGTCTAATAACTTATAAGAGGTTAATCATACATCCAAAAGCTAGCCAAATAGTGTATTTCGTAAGCTGGCAAGCACAGCAGGAGGTGTCCCTCGGCGCTTCTTCGTGGTTCGGGTCTGCATGTGGTTGATTCATTCGCTTTGCTTTTTCCTTGCTTTACCACACCTTTTTCCTTCAACTCGACTCTTTATGTTTTGTGCTTAATCATTATAAGCTTAATCATATTTTAGAAAAGCTAAAACCTTTTCCTCTGTTTATCTTCTCACTTACTCATTTTGAAGTAATTAAAGCCTAATCATGATTATTGTTTTGTAATGTTTTTCTTATAACAAAACTGCTCAGAATATTGAGAAATGGGCCCGCCTTTCCGGCTCAGTTTACGGCCCTGCTCTTGTTGCTCACTCAGCCGTCTGTGCAGCATCCGAGCACCGTGCAGCTGCTCTGTGCAGGTCAGGGCACTTAAAGAAGTGGCACAGCCCCATGACTTTGGTGTGTGTCAGACTCACGACATGGGGAGCTTGTAAAGCTTATGTATGTCTGAGTCCCACTCCACACCTGTGGAATCAGGATCAGTGGGTTCAGAAGCATTGGGAGAGAGAGAAGATGATGAGTTGGGCTCAGGAAAGACCTATTCAGGCTTAATAATTGCAAATTACCCAGCCTTGGCTTTCTCTCCGACCTTACAGGGCTAACTGTATAGGGCTGTTGCCTATCCTGTTAAACGCTGAATGTAGTCTTTTTTTTTCCAGGCAGCTGGCCCTTGACCTTGGTGTTATAAAGTAGACTTTCATTCTCTGTTCATATCCTCTAAATACAAGGGGTCTTCAAAAGTTCATGGAAGGATTTGTATTATCTGTTAACTCCACATATTCTATGAACTTTTGAAGTACCCTTGAACATGGACACCAACTGTTGGGGTCATTTGTAGACATCTTTGGTGTCTTAGATGGTAAGCTCACATGCTCCATACTGTTATCAGAAGTTAAACACAGGGACAGGAGTGTCCCTGCCTTCTGCCATTCCCGCTGGCACAGTTGCGTGCATACAGATAGTCTACTCTGAATTGCTCAAGGCAGGCACTGATACCATGTGTTTTAGTGCAGTGTTTCTCCAGTGTATCTGGAGGATTTTGTTTTGCTTTTTCTTTGTTTTTAAATTTCCAATCCATTGAAGATTGATATTTTTGTAAAATATAATAAAAATGAATTACTAGAAAAATGGCTACACATTTGGACGTCACCGCAGTGTGGAATTGCTATACAGGTTTCTAAATGGTTCCTTTCAATTTCTGCATTTAATCTCCTGGCCTGGTAACAGCTTGGCCTTGGGAGCACACTTTGAGTAGTACTGCTGTAGAGCACTGTTTCTGGTTTGGTTTTGTTTGGCACCTGGCCAGTACGGGGATCCGAACCTGTGACCTTGATGTTATAAGGCTGTGCTCTAACCAGCTGAGCTAACTGTTTCTGGTTTTCTATTGTGAACTTCAATGAGTCCTTTAGCCCTGTAGCACATGCAGATGAGTATTGCTGTGTGCATGTTTCTGGGGAGGGCACTATTTTATCAAATCCTCTTTCACAGTATTATTATACTCTGCAGTACACTGTATACTATACACTGTAGGGTACTATTTCATATTGGAAGTGTATTCTTTTGATTCTAGGTACTGATATCATTTACTTGTCTTTTAAAATTTATATTTTTATTGTGGAAAGAATAATAAACAGCATTAAAGGAAACTTAAAGGAAATGAGCATTCATAATGCCATAACTCTTCATTAGTACTACTTTCACTAGGAAAATTCTTGTATGAATCCTGTGTTCATATGTTTTAAATTGTCCTCATACTATACATGTAATTGTCTTTTGCTTTTTAGTTTGACATTATATTAAAAACATTTTTCAAGTTGCTATATGGTATTTGTAACTGAATCATTCTAATGGTTTATTATTTGATCGTGCAGGAAGTCTTTTAATTGTATCTTAGTTGTTACTGGAGTTTTAGAGTCCCATGTTACATGGGCTGTGTGTGGGGTCAGTGGAGTATCAGCTGCTCTACTCGTTAGCTCTGTGGTGACCTTGAGCAAATTAGTTCACTCTCTGAGGCTGGAAAGTGCCTGGCAGAGTGCTCACTCTGCTTGTCTCTTACCTATGATCTTCTTAACTTCTGCTGAACAAGTCTTTCTTTCACTGGTTTGATTTTTCTGTTTCTACTGGTTAGAAATTTCTGATACTCTTTGAGCTTTGCGTGGTTATTTGTTTTTCTCATTTGTAAGAGCTTTTATTCCTGACCCTCCCCACTTCGGTTTTGTAGTAGATTAGCTTGTATCACTGGCCATATCTGGCCAAGTGAGATCCTACTCCATTTTAGAAAACAAGTGAGCTGTGTGCAGTCAGAATTCTTCTGTGTAATTAGACCAGAGCCCTTTCTGTGATTTGTTTGGTAGGTGTGGTTGTGTTTCCTTGTGGAATATTTATTATTGAGTATTCAGTGTTTAGGGTTGAGCCAGTGAAGACAGGCTTAGGGGATGTCTGTGTCAAGAACCTTCTTTTCGGTTCTTCTGTCCCCAGAGCTGCTTCTTTAAGGCTCTTGGAGCAATTTTGGCAGTGCCGTTAATGGAAACCTGGGAAGCACAGTCAGTATAAATGGTTTCTTCCATTGTGACCTCAGTGAACATTCTGTTTCCAAGGCCAGAAAAAGTGCTGAGATGAAAGATTTTATAGCTATGAAAAACTGCCCTGATTTTTGTTTTAGTTTAATCTAGGCATGTATTCTTGCTTTTCTAGACATCATTAAGTGCTTTGAGATATCTGTGTATTTTTGGCGACCCATTGGTCCCAGTTTAGGACTTAGCTAACACTTTTGAGTTATGGGCAAGTTGTGGTTCTGCTGAGACATCTTTTGAGTTCCTGCTTGCTGCTTGAGTGATAATGGACCTCATTCACTCACCATTTCATATCTATAACAGCATTAAATATCACTTTTTACAAGCTTTTGTATAAGTGAAAGGAAGGGCAGGAAAAATTTTTTACAACACAGAATCAAATCATTGTCCTTAACATTGGTGTATTTAATTATGATTATGTGATCTAATGATCTAAGTGTCTTCCCTTTACAAATAGATAGTGAAAACAAACATAATTTGGTTAATCTGCAAAAGTCTTTAAAAAATTCAAGCTCTTGAGTTTGCATTTTAGCTCTAACATTCCCTTGCTTGTAACTGGGGCATCAGTCCCTTTGAGCTTTCTTTTTCTTTCTTTCTTTCTTTCTTTTTTTTTTTTAAAGATGACCGGAAAGGGGATCTTAACCCTTGACTTGGTGTTGTCAGCACCACGCTCTCCCAAGTGAGCCACGGGCCGGCCCTGAGCTTTATTTTTCTGAACAGTAAAATAAGGATGATGATACTTCTTATTTTAGAGAGTTGTTGAATGTTCACCAAGACATTATATGTGAAAGTGCTTAGTATGTTATAAACGATTAGCCAGAGTTTGCTGATTTCCATTTTATTTAAAGTGCACCTGTCTGGAAGAGAGGCCACGAGGAATCTTGACAGTTGTGTAGGGCCACTGGAGCTGCTTCAGAAAATTTGTGGGGGAAGAGTGGGTTGCAGAAGTGGCAGACTTCTGAATACTTAGGTACTAAGTAGTTCAGTACCCAAGAGTACTGGATTTAAAGGTTACATTGCCACTGGGGTTACAGGGAATCCTTTATTGAATGCCAGCAAGTTGTCCTTCCTTCAGTTTTGCTTTCTCATCATGCCGATCCCAAGGAGACTACATTATTAACTGCCCCATTGGTTCTGTCTGTTAAAACTCCCTGTGATGGAAGGATTGCGGTACAGTGAGGGCTGTTAGATTCCATTTCAGTCTTGCTGGGGTAGCTCCACATGGTAGTCCCCATAGTCATTTTGTTTTCTAGTTAGCTGTGAAGTTAAATGCAAAAATTAGGAATTTGCCGTAACATTTTGTGGGAAATACTTTTCCTTGGTTCTTGATTCCCAATTAACAGAAGGAAGCCTTTCTTCTTAATTAACTCATTATTACTCTAATATATAGTGCATTGCATTTTATCTGTATGTCTGAAGCTTGAAACTTCCCACCTAAAAATGTCGAACTGCGTAGACCTAAGCACCTTATGGTGGGAACTGCTCATTTGCTTAGTTAGTAGAAGCTGAGCGTTTTCCAGATAAGAAGTTGGCCTTTCTGACAGCTGAAGATCCCTCATCTAGGAGTCATGGACTGAAACCCAAGACCTGGCTCCTAGGCTCGGCTTCCAGGCTTGGCTCTTCTGCTGTGCGCCATGTACTGAGCACTTTAAGCATTTCAGAATATGAAATATATAGAAAAGGGTACTTTGCTTGCCTCATGTGTTTACCTTTTTCATTGTGTTTATTTTTAGGAATGCTTCTTACTGCCAATGAAACCCCCAAGATGGGCATCTATTACATTCCAGTAAGTAATACAAATGGAAGTTACACTAAAGATAGGACAAGCAGAGATACTTTATTTTTAAACTAGATGTACTGAGGGACTTTGAGCTATGTGAATTCCACACACGGACTCACTTCTGGAGTGAGTTTGCTTCCTGGAGCCAGTAAAGTGATGCATAAACATTCTCATATGGGAAAGTACTTATGATTCTTTTTTTTTTTCCTTGGTGGCTGGCTGGCAAGGGGTTCCGAACCCTTGACCTTGGTATTACAAGGCTGCACTCTAACCAACTGAGCTAACTGGCCAGGCTATGGGAAAGTATTTAATTTCATGTTAAAATAGACATTAGAGACTGAGCAGTTAGCTCAGTTGGTTAGAGCATGATGCTGATAACACCAAGGCTCAGGGTTCGATTGCTGTAGTAGCCAGCCTCCAAAAAATAAATAAATAAAATAGACATTATAAGTTAGTATTTATTCTTCAAATTTACATTTCTTTTTTGTTTCCAAGTATTTTAGAATCTTAAACTTTCAGCCATTAGTGATCAGGAGGTCTAATTCTAAAATAAAAGTCTAATACTCTTCTAATCTCACTGTAGTTTGTTTCTTTTTTTTTTCTCCTTTTGTTTATTTATTAACATTACGTTGTTTTTTTTTTTTTTAAAGATGACCGGTAAGGGGATCTTAACCCTTGACTTGGTGTTGTCAGCACCAGGCTCACCCAGTGAGCTAACCGGCCATCCCTATATGGGATCCGAACCCGTGGCCTTGGTGTTACCAGCACCGCACTCTCCCGAGTGAGCCACGGGCCGGCCCTAATATTACTTTTTTACATTGTATGTTGTTGCTGTGGAGCAGTTGGAGAGGGGAAGGGAGAAGGAAATAGGGTGGGGGAAGGAGGAAGGGTGGGATTCAGGCCTGTGGCACCCCCCTCATTCCTGCAGGGGAGACCAGAGGGCTTCCAGTGGGTGTCTTGGTCATTGCTGGGCTGGTTACATGTGTCAGAGGGTGTGGCCAAGGCCTAAGGTCCCCCACTGCCCCAGCTTGGGAGAGCCTGGTGTGCTTCCGGTGGTGGTTCGGTGGCCATTGCTGGGCTGGTTGTGGGTGTCGGCGGGGGGGTGGGGGAGGGCATGGCCAAGGCCTGAGGTGCCCCACTGCCCTGGCTCAGGAGAGCCTGGGGCACTTCCTGCCATGGCTCCGTGATTTTCGCATGGCTGAGGCCCCCAGCCCTCCTGCTCCCTGGCTTGGTATCCCAGGGGATTTCCAGTGCTTCTAGGTTTTATAGGTGTTCTTTGGTGATGTGAGACCTTTACTAGTTAATATCAAACTTTGTTTCTTGTCTGTGGGTTTTTTGTTTTTTTTTTTCTTCCAGTTCTGTGTTGGATTATTTGCTGTTCCTGCCACTTAAACTCTGCTCTGGAGCTAATTTGTTGTCCTTTGGTTACTTCTAAAATGGGGAAACTTCCTGTGGGGACCAGTACTTGAGCTCTGTGGTTGATCTAAATTGCCACTTTGCTGCTGGTTCCCTAGGGAAGGCTTTTTGTGCAGCTCAGGTTTTAATGGTTGACTTTATAGGTACTTCCTGTTGGCTAATATACCCTCCACCAGAAAAGTAAAATAGTGTTAAAGACCGAGATACACAAAATGGCACCTGAGAAAGTTTCCTGGAAAACCCCCACCCAGAAAAATCCCCTAGCTACCACATTACCTTCCCGCGTGTGCGATTTTGCCCATCTGTGAGAAAGTCCCAGCTCAGCTTAAACCCCACTCTCTTCCCTCCCCTTCCTTCTTAGCCAATAGGAACAGTCCAGCTCAGCCTAACTGGATATAAAAGGCCCAGCCCGACTCTCCCTGCGGCTGCTCCCACTTTGGAGAGGGCAGCCCGCTTATTCACTTTGCCTGCCTAATACACTTTGGTTGAGTCCCTGTCTCCTGGTGTGTCTTATTTTGCGCTCAGGCCGGGGTTTTTCCTTTCACTTCCAGCTCTCATGAGATCCAGTACACCTGGGTTTTGTAGAAACTGGTCTGGGCCTGAGTCTTTTCAGCAAACTGCACCCCCTGCAGGTCTGTACTCCTGACCAGTCTCCACTGAGTGGTCCTATGCTGAGTAGGGGGCAGATCAGCTGTACTTGCTGTGCCCTAGTGTTCTCCCAGTGGGCCTGTCTCCCCCACTGTCCACACTGCAGACACTTCCATGAGGCGGGCTATGTGCCAGTCCCTTGCGATGACTCACTGGCCTCTGAGGGGCTCCTTTTTTTCAGTTGTTGTGGCTCCTTGCTCCTATGTGGGTCCCCAGGAACCCTGTTAGTAGTCTTGCTCGCCTGGGGGCCACCAAAGTCCTTTTCTTCCCTGAGGCCTCCAAACAACTTCATCTGCAAGGCACAGCTGTGGCTTTTGCCAGCTCCTGCTCTGTGTGCTCAGCAGCTCTGGTCTTGAAGCGACTGGGGCTCAAAACGATCGGACCACTTCTTTCTCTCAACGTTGCTTCTCCCGCCTTCGTGCGCTCCATAGGTCTCTCGTCCTCTTCCCGTGAGCTCTAGTGGCCTCAGCTTGGCCGTCATCCCTTTTTCATAGTTGTAAATTGGTTGGTATGTATGAGAGAGTGACGCTGGCAACCATCTATTCTAATCTTGACCAGAACTCCGTGGTTTGTTTCTTTTAAAAATAACTTACATATAAAAGAAACAATCTTAGATTGACATGGTCAGTAAGGACATGTAGTTTGTAACCTAACCTTTTTTTCTTCCTTAAAGAATTCTTCTCTTACATATGCCAGAAGCTTCCCCACCTTTCTCTTTTAGTTAACAGTAGGAAAGAAACATATTGAAATACCTTGGATTGAGTGTCGCCCTAAAACTTGACTCCCACTGTGACAGTGTTAAGAGGGTGGGAAATCCTATTTTGACAATTGAAAGGTGGGGCCTTGAAGAGGTGATTAGATTCTGAGGGCCATGCCAGGTGAATGGATTAAAAATGGTGGTCTTGATCATGGTTCCGAGGGATATAAAAGGAGAGTGTATGAGGAGCTGTCTCTCTCTGCTTCACCATTTTCTGCTGTGTGAGACCCCTGGGTCAGTGTCACCACCACCAGGGCCCTCACCATATGTGTTCCCTGCAGTGTGGACTTCCCAGGCTCCAAAACTGTAAGCAGTAAATTTTGTTGTCTTTATAAATCACCCAGTTCCAGGTATTTTGTTACAAGTAACAGAAATGGACTGATAGAGGAAATATGATATTCTAAGCAGAAAAAGTAGTATAAGTTGTCACTAGATTCCTTTAGAGTCAGCAAACATCTCCCTTATCTGAGATTTGGGGAGAAGAGAGTCTGGTGAGGGGTGTTGAAGATCAGAACTGGAGAGAGGTGTACTCTCCAGAACTGCTGCCAGCCTCCAGTTATGAAAACTCCTGTTTGTGATGGCTGTTTTTTTTGTTTTGTTTTGTTTTGTTTTTGGTGACTTGCTGGTACAGGGACCCAAACCCTTATAAGTCTTCTATTTTACTTATTTGTTTTGGTGGCTGGCTGGTAAGGGGATCCAAACCCTTGACCTTGGTGTTGCCAGCACACGCTCTCCCAAGTGAGCTAACCGACCAGCTCTGTGATGGTTCTTTTGAACTAGCTCAACTATGTGTGTATTTCCAAAAAGGTGTACTGCTTGATGTTGACTTTCTGTGGATTCACAAAACTGATATGTTGTTGAAAGCACTTTGAGATATTTGGTTGGTAGTGAAATGAAAGCCATCTGAGCCGGAAGTGCTTTAGTTTTCCTAAGCTGTCATTTTTTCCTTTTCCCCTAAACATTCACAGTCACTGCCTCCATATTCCTATCAGTTTATCCATCTTTCCTTGTATTCATTTGTTTAATAAATATTTACTAATTGCATCAACTGTGTGTCAGGAACTATGCTGTATGCTGGCAGAATAACAGTGTGTAGAGTACTGCCCCTTTCCTCAAGGAGTGAGTGTTGGAAATAGAACAAGAAAGCAGGAAATTTCAATTCATTGTGATGAATGCTGTAATAGAAGTTCTAAGGAAGGGCACTTTGAGAGGACCATAGATGGAGAGACTCTTCCCCCAGTGTAGGCTGGGGAGCTGGTGGGATATGCGGCAGGTACTCGGAGAAAACTTCCAGGGAGAGGCCTGAGGATGGTTACGTAGACTGGATGAGGGGGTGGGTGGAGTGGGGTGCAGAGTGAGAGAAGGGTCTTGACAGTAGAGGGAAGGGTATGTGCAAAGCTTATGGAGAAAGTAACCCACATGGCTGAGCATTAGAGAGAGGGCTGGGGAGCCGGGTTAGGAAGGGTCTTGTGAGCCAGGTGTGGGAATGTCAGACTGGGAGTCCTGGCACAGTGTCAAGCAGGGGAGTTAGATGATCAGATTTACATTTTGGAAAGATTACTTTGGCTGCCACAAGTACAATGGCTTACATAGGATCTAACCTGAACGTAACAAGGGACAGGCTGTGGCAGTCTACAGGAGAGGTAATAGTACTTGTGCTACCTGTGCCCCACCTCCCTTTTAGTAGTTGTGGCTCTTTTGGTTCTGGAGTAATTTGAGAGATGTCTAATCTGGCAGGGAGTAATTTCAGAGGGTTTATTATTCTTGAATTGCCCAATGGTGTTTCTCAAAGGTATTCATTGATTCATTGAAACTTCTCCCAATTTCTGCCTTTTGGGGAACATTGTCAAGAAAGGCAGAATAAATCAACTTGCCCCTAACCTTTACATCATGGGAGAGGCCTCTTCTGAGGAGTGCCTTCTGCATTTTGATCTTCAACAACTACCTGTTGATACCTTGGGTCTTTAGATCCCTTCTCCATGTCAGAAGTGGATGGAATCAATGAGCAGGAAGGTGAAAAGCACCCTGTTAAGATAGAGTGTGGAGGTCTGCAGCAGGAGGTCTGCTTAAGAGATGAGGACATGCAGACTGGAGAGCTTCGTGTGTGGCAGTGCGGATGGGCCGTTCTGAAGACTATGGCTGTGAGGCCACCTTCCTGGCTTGGATGAAGATGGTGGGAGTGGAA